TATAATGTGCACTGACCACCAGGGAGCAGATGCTCCAACAATAGGTTAGCTTGCTGCTGGGGTCCGGCCAATTGGGACTGAGTGAGATGGGCTGGACATGTCCTGGAGCCCTCCCACAGTCCCTCCTCAGCCCCGATCGTGCACCGGTGGAATCCCTCTGCCTGGCCTGCACACTCTTACAATCTGGGACCCCTCAGGGGATGTCAGAGAATGTTTCGGCCCAATCTCACAGGCCAGGCCAGGGACCCTACTGGTGCACGAATTTGTGCACCAGGCCTCTAGTGTAAAATAAAACTTGAAGCTATTACATATAAAACAGTCAGAGAGCTGACTCTCTTATCCACCTGCTCGCCCCCTTGTCCAATTTGATCAAAGTTTTATTATTTCTTCATTTTCACAGAAGATCATATTTTGCATACTATTTATTCCACTTTTGCTTTGGAGTTAGCTCTGAGATCAAAATGTTCAGTGCTCAATGATAGTAATTTTGCTAATTTCCACAAACGTTTCTGTCTTTCATTCTTTCCTTTTTATGCATGACACTGCATACCAAGCATGTAACAAGTTCTTGAATTCTATCAACTAGTAATTTTGATAGATGATACTAAAAGGCCCAAACAATTATACTCATTGTTCTAACCCTTAGCCAGAAAGGACTATTTATGTCTGGCTACTGTTCTACACAGGTTACAGATAACTACTTACTACTTTTTTTGTTGGTGGTGGTTCCCTGACTGGGTATCAAACCCAAAACCTTTCAACTCATACCAACTGAGCCACACCAGTCAGGGCTATTTACTACTTTTTCATGGACAAAGCCCCTGACCTTCAAGAAAGCTTTAGGGAGGAAACTTTTTATCTCTTTCTTTAAAAATTGGGATCTTTATTACATCTGAGAGAGAAAAAGTAGTAATATATATTATTATTGATATATGTTTATATATGTTATTAATATCCTATATAATAAAGAGCTATATGCAATGGACATCATGTCCTCATGCTATCATACCATCATGCCATAATGGCTCAGACACTCAACAGGGAGGAGAGAGGAATGGGGACCAGCCAGGCACAAATGAGCTCACAAGAGAAGAATGGGGACCAGCCAGGCTGCAGCCTGGGAGAGGGACAAGCCGCACACCCTGCTGGTCTGGGCGCCAGTATCTGGGGCTGTGGCTTGGGAAAGGGACAAGCCACCTGCCCCGTGATCCCAGGCACCTGCGGCAGCAGCCCAGATGAAGCCGGCCCAGGTCTTGGGTGTCTGCAGCTGGGTAGAGGAGGAAATCCTGGGTCCTGGGTGTGGAGTGAGGTAGAGGTGATTAGGGGCAATCAAACCAGTAGGGGAGCAATTAGGAGTGATCAGGCAGGCAGGCAGAGATACTTAGGGGCTATCAGGCAGGCAGAGGTGGTTAGGGGCGATCAAGCAATCAGGCAGGCAAAGGGGTTAGGGGTGGTCAGGCAGGCAGGCAGGCAGGCAGGCAAGCAGTTAGGAGCCAGTGGTCCCAGATTGTGAGAGGCAGTTGGACATCCCTCAAAGGGTCCTGGATTGAGAGGGTGCAGGCTGGGCTGAGGCCCTACCCCCCAACCCCATGAACAAATTTTGTGCACTGGGTCTCTAGTATACATATATTACTTGAGTTAAAAGGCATAGGAAACAATGTATATCCATTAAATTTCTAAGAAACATGAGATAAAATGATGAAATATTTTGCCCTAGCTGGTTTGGTTCAGTGGATAGAGTATTGGCCTGCAGACTGAAGGATCCTGGATTTGATCCCAATCAAGGGCACAATAATTCTCTCTCATCATTGATGTTCCTATCTCTCTATTCCTTCCTCTCTTAAATCAATAAAAATTTATATTTTTAAAAGATAAAGTCTTTTTATAAGTTCTAAGTCTATACAACAAAACTAGATTTGCTATTCTCCAAAAGTAAAAGACCTGCTATATAATAGACAGAAATAACTTAATGCTTTTTCAGAGGAATATAACTCAAGTTTTGCAAAATTTTTCTATTCCATGGAGACATCTAAAAATGCCAATCTGTGGAACAGGTGCTCCTTTCTTCGTCCCCTCTCCGTTTACGCAGTAGTTTTCATGGATTCCTGCTCAGATGTCACAAGCAAAGGCCAAGAGGTTAGCCAGGACCTCAGCCTTGCTTTGTGGGAAGTGGGTCTGAAGGGTGGTCACCTTCTCCTGGGTGTCCTTCACTTCAGTGCTACAATTCTGGGGATCCCAGAGCCTCAGCTTCCTTGGCCTTGAACTCCATCTCCCTCTGCAGGCCGTACTATGCAATTTCAGCCTGAGCCTCTGACCTGCTTCAGCCTCAGTTCATTTCACTTGCTGACCTCCTACACCTTTCCCGCCAACATTTCTTGTCGAATCAACCTTGCCCACTACCAGCATAGTGTGGATATTCCTTCACACCTTTACTCTTTTTCATCCATAAAAATATAGGCATATATGGAAGTCGTATGTGTTTCTCCTGAAATACCAAAACGTTGGATACCACTTTCCAACGTGCTTTTTTTCTACTGGTTAGATTTTATGGACATTTCCAGAAGCCAGTAAACTGAGATCTAGTGATTGTTGTTCTTTTTCTAAGATATTTATAAATATAGTAGGATACATCAGAGCTTACGAGTTTTTTGGTGAAGCAATATTTATGTTCTTTGCCTTGTCTCTCCTATCCAATCTCTTTATTCTTCCATCAACCACTCAGGAACCTATATTGATATTATGATGTGCAGTCTTCTTAATATAACCATAGCTATTTATGTAATGTAACCATATTAAAAACATACTCTCACTATGTGCAAGCATCTGATTTTAGACCCTCTATCCTATTTCATTTGCATATTTAACCTATCATGTTCTAACCACTTTATTGTAATTACTACAGCTTTAAAAGATACCTTGAGATCTGCTATATTAAAGTTTTATGAAATTGTTCTTATTCAAGAGTATCTTGGCTATTTTGTCTTTTGCAAGTTTTTATGTATATTTTACAATCATACAGCCAAGTTTTGGCTTACTTTTACAATAACCTTTCTGGGGGTTTAATTGAGATTGCATTGAATCTAAAAATTAATATGAAGAGAACTGGCATCTTTATCATATTCAATCTTCCAATCCATGAATATGGTATACCTTTATAATTAGGAGTGTTAAAAAAAAAAAAAAAAGTATCTCTTACAGCTGGGACTGGTTTGGCTCAGTGGATAGAGTGTCGGCCTGCAGACTGAAAGGTCCCAGGTTCGATTCCGGTCAAGGGCATGTACCTTGGTTACAGGCATGTCCCCAGTAGGGGGTGTGCAAAAGGCAGCTGATCAATGATTCTCTCTCATCGATGTTTCTAACTCTCTATCCCTCTCTCTTCCTCTCTGAAAAATCAATAAAATAAAAAAATATTTTTAAAAAAGTGTCTCTTGTTTTATAATTTTCTCTGTAGCTATTTTGCACAGAATGAATTAAATGTATTTGTAAGCTCCTTGTGTTTTTATATAATTGTAAAAATCATTAAGATTTCATTTACTGGTTTACTATCCAATAATTAGTTTGTTTTTTTCTATGTCTCAATTGAACTCAACTCAGTCATATCTACATTTCAGGTTCTGTCCCTGGTGACACCCAACATTGGTTTCTATTACTCTCAACTTTGGTAGCTATGACAAAATACCGACTCAGAGTAGCTTAGGAAGAAAGCTAGTTTATTGGGTCATAACCAACTGTGGGTAGAGTGTGGGATGAACTGCTCTTAAGAAAAAGGGGAATGAAGGGGAGGCTTGTGCCTTCTGAATGCTCTCTCGCCACTTTCTCTCTGTTAGTGTATTATCATAATTAGGTTCATTTTTATCCACAGTTGAACTCCTCCTAGGATGGGACCATCTCTTGGAGTTCCTGGGCTCATATCTAGCATGTTAACCAAAGCGAGGAGTTTCCCTACCGGTTTGGCTCAGTGGATAGAACGTTGGCCTGCGGACTGAAAGGTCCCAGGTTCAATTCCGGTCAAGGGCATGTACCTTGGTTGCGGGCACATCCCCATTAGGGGGTGTGCAAGAGGCATCCATCCCCCTGATGGGTGTTTCTCTCTCATCGATGTTTCTAGCTCTCTATCCCTCTCCCTTCCTCTCTGTAAAAAAATCAATAAAATATGAAATATATATATATACCTAAACTTCAATAGAGCCACAAGAACATACACCCTTACTTTCATGATTAGCAGTTCTCATTAGACTCTTAAGAGATAGGGTGCTCTTCTAAGAATAGATGATTTCTGTTTTCTACCTGTCACTTTGCTGGGTGTTTTCTTCTTCTTATGATTTCTAGGCATCATCTCCTTCCAGATCTAGACTTCCACCTTTCTCATTACTTTTTTGGTGCATTTCAGAGACCACCTATGAAATGGCAAAGTCCAATGATTAGCCATTAGACTTTTATGGCAAATTTGTCTTTTGACGTTCGTTGCTTGTTTGTTTGTTTGTTTGTTGTTTGTTTTCAGGGCCTGGGGAAATGAAAGAGAAGCCCACCTTGATGCTGGGGGTGGGGGGTGTTAAACTGCTTGGGTGGGGCTGGCAGGACCAGGGAGGAATGAGAGAAGGCCTCTGTTCTAAAATCTGAACACAGGATCACCGACTTGCTGAGTGACCTTGAGTGAATTGTGTCTTTTCTCTGGGCTTCTCCTATCCTTTCTAAATATAAAGAATCTGGTGGTGATGGTATCTCAGGGCCGGCAGCCCTGCTCCCCGTGAGAAAGTAGGACAGCTCTTGGCACTGTCATAGGTGGCGTAACACCGTGGCTGCCATTTCCCTCTGTGAATAGTCTTTGGGAAAAGCCCCAAGGTCCCTCCCAGGCTGGGGGTGGGTAGTTCCTGGAAGAAACACAAAAATGTAGGTCCTGTCCCTTGTAATACCACAGACCCGCCCTTGGCACCAGGCCAAGTTGTGGCTACATAAATTAGGCTTGGCCTCAGCCCTCAGCCACACACCATCCCGACAACATGAGACCCAGCAGCTTCTTGGTTCTGGCGGTTCTCTTTGTCCTCGGCGTGCTGGTGGGACAGGCCGCTGTCAGGGGAGGTGAGTGGACAAGCGGCCCGGTGGGGCTGGGTTGGGTTGAGGAGGGTCTGTCAGGGGCAACCTGGGTGCTGACAGGAACCACTTCTGGAGCAGCAGGGAGGGCTCAGGCCCTCACTTCAGCCTCTGGTCACCTCCGTTGTATCCAGATAAATTAGGAAGTTGTCCAGCTTTTCACCCCAGGACTGAGATAGGAAGGCTGTGGAAGAAGTGTTGTCCTGTCCTCTTGGCCTCAGACAATGGGACTTCTGCAGAATGAAGTGAGGAGTCCCAAGAATCTGGGCCCTGGGTGTAGGGTCTGTCTGCCCTGTAAAAGCACCTGAGATTAGTGAGTCCTTTAAGAGGAGTTTAAGAACCTGCAGGGCAGCCCTGACTGGTTTGGCTCAGTGGATAGAGCGTCGGCCTGTGTATTAAGGGGTCCCATGTTCGATTCCGGTCAAGGGCATGTGCCTTGGTTGCAGGTATGTCCCCAGTAGGGAGTGTGCAGGAGTCAGCTGATTGATGTTTTGATCTCATTGATGTTTCTAGTTCTCTAACCCTCTCCCTTCCTCTCTGTAAAATATTATTTAAAAAAAAAAAAAAAAAAAAAAGAACTGAAGAGCTTCAGAGAGCATGTAATTTGAAGAAGACCACCATTTTACTAAGGAGGACATTGCGACCAAGAGAGGGTGCGGAATTGTCTAGGAAATCTCAGGTCTCCTGGCATGTGTCTCCGAGCTCTTCTCCCCTGGGAAGTCACAATATGTCCTCCTCACTTCTTGGAGTCGCTCCAGTCTGGCATTTCTTCCTGAGCACTGGACTTGGGATGGAGGGATGGCAAACCATGGCCCTGTAGACCCTTCCCCAGAGCTCAGGAAATAGCCTTCCAAAAGCACAAACCAGAATTCGCCTTGGCGATCCTCCTCTACCTCAGGTCATAATTTAGGGGACACTGGAGTGAGCAGTGACTGGACCAAGAATAAAGACAAGACAGCTGAAAGAGGGACATGAGGTCTAACTGCGGGTACATTTCTTCTTTCAACAGTTCCTTATGGAGGTCAACAAGTGGAACATGTGATGGCCAAAGGACAAGGTCCATATCCAGTCAAAGGTTCACATCCAGCCAAAGGTCCAGTCCAACATCCACAAAAAGTCCCCTCGAAGCCTGGCTCCTGCCCCAGGGTTCTGATGAGGTGCGCCATGATGAATCCCCCCAATGCCTGCATGAGGGACTCTGAGTGCAATGGGAACAAGAAATGCTGCATGGGCTCCTGTGGAAGAATCTGCACGAGGCCCAGAATGAGGAACTGAAGGAGGAAGAGGTAACTCCTGAGGGCACAGAGAAAGCTGAGCAGTGGGAAATGATCCTTGGTTCTTGAGTGGGAGGAACCTGGAAAGTGACGGGGAAACTGGGGTGTCTTGGAGGCTGTAACTGGGCTTCTTAGAGGAGTGACATGTGAACTTGACCCTATCTCTCACTGCTTCTGAGTTCTTTGACCTGCTGACTCACAGCTCTGGTTCTCCTCTCTCCTGACAGGTGGAGCCTGTTCTTGTTGCACCGGTGAAGGCCCAGGACTACAGTCCCTGGTCCCTACAGCATTTGAACTCCTTTCCCACAGGGCTCATTCTTCCTCTCATCGAGGATGCCTAAACCTGGGCTGCTTCCCTCAGTGATTTCTCAATAAAAGACTGCTTTCTACTCCATTTGTTTGGCTCTTATGACTTCTCTGCTTCTGGAAGCTCCTGGAGGTGGGTGTGGAGTTGGGACTCCCTCTCCCCAGTGAAGGTGGGGGTGAGAGGGCTCCATGTGAGCTGTTCCTGATGTGAAGGAGAGCAAGGGGCAGGAGCAAGAGACCCACTCCTAGGGATTAATATTAGAAATCAAATAAATATCCCAAGAACTATATTCTCCGTATCACCAGGAAATGGAAATCTGGACATTTCACTTGTACATGCCCAAGATGCCTCCATTAACACATATTCCTTTTGGATTAAGCAATATCCTCTCCCAACTTTATGTTTTAAGATGTGAATGAGGAGACAAGACACACCAAGCTCTTAATCCTTTAGTAGGAATGTTGATTAGTGTTCTCTGGAGATATAAATTTGGGGGTGGGGCAGATCCAAGTAGTGATGAGAATGGAGAGTATTCGTTGGGCAAACTTGAATGACCTCATAGCTCTGTTGTTGGCCTCACTGCGCCTCCCCACTCCCCCCCCCCCCAATCCCTGCACTTGGACAGGAAGCTCTCTGGAAACCAAAGCCACAGGAGGAGGAGGAGGAGCATTTTGGGAGTCAGTGACCTGAGTTCTAGCCCCAGCTTTGGCACCTCTGGAAGACTTCCCAGCCACCAAGGAAATGTTCTTAGAAAAGTGCCTTCTTATAACAAGCTAGACAGCAAGACTTATCTTCTGTCAGTTACTCCATCAGTTTCACAAGGCCACTTTTGATGAACCTGAATTATCTTCCTGCCCCTATTTTAATCACAGGTTACATGTCAGCCTTTTCACACTAGGTGGTACTATGTCTTCCCTTTCTGCAGCTTGGCATTTTTATGGAGACACATATCCATCCACAATGCCTGTGCTCCTGGAAGCTCCCACAACCTTTTACTCTCGAGTCACAGTGCAGCATACCATTGCTGCCTCTGGGCACTTCATTTGGTGTCGCATCCTGTCCAGCCAGCATTGCCATAGCCTTGGACATCACTTCCATGCCCCTTCCTGGAAGTGAAATGCTGCAGCCATTGGATGCTGGATTAAACCCCATCCTTCCTCCGTGTCTGCTTTTTACCATCACTAGTCCCCACATCCGTGACGGAAGCATGTGTTGTCTGAACCAGTACATGTGCACATGGGGTGGCTGCAGAGGAGGCAGGGAGAGCAGGCATCTGGATCTTCCAGCTTCCATGGGGGACATGGGCTCAGCTTCCCATTTCTGAGACTGGCCTGGCGAATATGCTCTAATTATGGGAATTTATATACCACAGCAGTAAAGAAACGAAAGTTGGCCCTAGCTGGTATGGCTCAGTTGGTTGGGTGTTGTCCCATGCACTGAAAGGTCCTGGTTTGATTCCCAGACTGGGCTCATGCCAACATACCAGGTTGTGTTATGTTGATAATCAAGGAAAACAACAACCAGTCAATGTTTCTCTCTCTCTCTCTCTCTCTCTCTCTCTCTCTCTCTCTCTCTCTCTCTCTCTCTCTCGTCAACTTTAAAAAATATGTTTTAAAAAAATGAAAGTTGTCTAAACCAATCCCATGCCACCTGTGAGCACTGGGGCAGCTGCTATGCTCCCTCCCTCCATTTCGTCTTCCAGCCCCAGCTTCTGGCCTCTAGTTTAGCCTATGATGAAAAGGAAGGAAACTGGAGCTCCTAGGGCTTCCAAGGCCTCGTGGCCGATATTCCCTAACATCCCCTCAGGCCTCATAAAAGGCTTTTTCAGCTCTGCATGAAGTGGAGGGGAGAGAGCAAGGATGACGGGGAAGTGAAGTTCTGAGCTGCTGGTCAGTGAAAGGGCCGCAGCTGCTGGCCGAAGCACCCAGGATGAGCATGCAGCCTTAAGGTTCCCGGCTGTTTGGGAGCAGCTCAGTAGCTACCAGGCTCCTCCCAGAGACATGGGGTTCTCCAGCAGAGGAGCGTCTGCTGAGCGGTAACCCTGATGTTACACCTGCAGGCTGTTCTGTGTGCACCCCGGGGGGTGAGCAGCCAGAGTCACTGATAATGACTGGACCTTCTTTGGCCTCTTCTGAGGCTCTCCTTGTCCAGAACCTCCTCAGATGAGGAGACGCTGTCCCAGCCAGCCATGTGTGTTTGCCCCCAGGAGTCCAGCGTGATGAGGGTCATGCTCACACCACTTGCTTCTCAGCCTGTCCCAGGGGCCTGAGCCACAGTCTTCCACTGAATTTGGAATTGAAAGTACCTGCTGACATAATCCAGATCTTCATCTTGCAGACAGGGAAACCGATTTCTACATGCGTCAAGGGCAGAGCTGAGGCTGGGAACTGCCTGTCCAATAGGCTTGATCTCTTTCTATAGGTTGTTGACTTAGTCAGGAGGATTAGTAGCCTTAAAAAAAAAAAAAAAAAAAAAAAAAAAAAAAAAAAAAAAAAAAAAAAAAGGCTCATTGATCTTTTCATTTTACCTGAACCAGAAATCAAGTTCATAGCAAGAATTCCAGGATAATGGAATGATCAAACCAAAGTGGAGAATCAAAAATAATGTAATTGGGGGAGAAGATGAGAACAATTAAACTGTAAATAGACACTCCATAAAAGGCCACGTGTTCTGCATCATTTTGGTGTCCTGTCAATAATCTTTCTGCTCCTCTCAATTGATCTATTTCTTTTACCAGAAATCAAGTTCATAGCAAGAATTCCAGGATAATAGAATGATCAAAACAAAGTGCAGGCACTGTAAGTTATTGGACTGTTAAAATAATTAGAAAGGGTTGGGTTTTTTTCCCCTTTAAATGTGGATGGAAACACAGAGGACAGGCCAAACGAGAGCAATGTAGGTGCACAGTGAAAAAAGCAGGAGGTAGCTACAAGATTACAGTAAAAAGAAGAGGAACCTCACATCTGTCAAAATGGCTATCATAAAAAAAATAATAATAAATAACAAACAACACGTGTTGGCAAAGATGTGGCAAAAAGGGAGCCCACTGCTGGTGGGATTGTAAATTGGTGTGGCCACTATGGAAAACAGTATAGAGGGTCCTAAAAAATTAAAATTAGAATTACCAGATGACCCAGCAGTTCTAATTTCGGATATTTATCCAAAGAAAACAAAAACACTAATTCATAAAGATATATGAATGGCTATGTTTATTGAAGCATTATTTATAATAGTAAAAATATGGGGGTGCAACCTAGGTGTCCATCAATAGATGGATAGATAAAGGAGATGTGAGATATATATGTATGTATATATTATTTAGCCATTAAAACTAATGAAATCTGTGAAATCTAAACTAAACAAAACAGAAACAGATTCATAGAGACAGAGAATAAAACAATGGTTACCAGAGGGTGAGAGGACAGGTTAAAAGGTGAAAGGGAATAAGAGGTACAAACTTCCAGTTATACAATAAATAATTCACAACATAGGGAATAAAGTCAATAATATTGCAATAATTTTGTACAGTGACAGGTGTATACTAAACTTGTCATAGTAATTCCTTTATAAGGTATATAAAAGTCAAATGACTTTGTTGTACACCTAACACTAACATAATATTGTATGTCAACTATACTTTAATTAAAATGAAAGAAAGAAAGAAGAAAGGATGGAAGGAAGGAAGGAAAGAAGGAAGGAAGGAAGAGTAGTTAGTGGGTAGAGTTGCGGTAGAAGAGAGCCTTCTTTTTCTTCAGCATCTCTCTGCCTCCCACACCTGGTACCAATGGTCCTGTGTGCATCCATTAATATGGTCTTGACCTAACCGGTTTGGCTCAGTGGATGGAGTGTTGGCCTGCGGACTGAGGGATCACAGGTTTGATTCCGGTCAGGGGCATGTACCTTGGTTGTGGGCACATCCCCAGTCGAGGGTGTGCAGGAGGCAGCTGATTAATGTTTCTAACTCTATCCCTCTCCCTTCTTCTCTGTAAAAAAAAAAAAAAAAAAAAAAAAGTCATATTTCTTACCATGACTTAAGATAGGTACGTCCTTTGCCAACAAGCAAGCAGAAGCAAAACACACTTTTACATGAGCACAGAAAGAGCTAAAAGAGTTATTTGGCCTATGGTTCACATTCCAAAATGACCTCATTAGACTTTTAACCTTAAAAACAAAGGGGAGGGGGAAGATTAACCGAAGAATTTATACGCATATATACATAATCTATGTACACAGATAATAGTGTAGTGAAGGCCTTGTGGGGGGCCAGAGGGGAAAAGGGTTAATGGGGGGGGGGGGACATCTGTAATATGTTCAACAATAAAGGTCATTTCTAAAAAAAAATAAAGTAACTATTTCTTTAAAAATTAAAAACAAGCCCGACCAGTGTGGCTCAGTGGTTGAGCATGGACCTATGAACTAGGAGGTCACGGTTTGACGCCTGGTCAAGGCACCTGCCTGGGTTGCGGGCTAGATCCCTAGTGTGGAGCACGCAGGAGGCAGCTAGTCAATGATTTTCTCTAATATCTCTCTCTCTCTCTCTCTCTCTCTCTCTCTCTCTCTCTCTCTCTCTCTCTCTTAAATCAATAAAATATATATATTAAAAATAAAAATAAAAAGCAAAAGAAGTCTATACAAAGTCATGGAGATCTAAGATAGGAGTTAAGGCAGAAAATATTCATCACACAACTTAAACT